TGAATATTACAAATTTATCATTATTACATGTAATTACTACATTTTCACGACTTAATTTTAATTGTTAAAATCATAACCGACAGCATAATCAAACCATTTGTATCGTTTACCGTATATACATCATGTACAAGTAATTGAGTATTTTCTTTAAAATAATGAACTTGTATCTTACGCTCATTATTTTTCTTGGTTAAAAAATACATGAATGAGAGAGAGAGACTCGCCTTGCTCATATACATACATGTATTTATCATATAGTTCTTGTATCAAATATATTGTCTAATTTATTCTATTAAACGTAATCTCCGTTTCCTATTTTAATTAAATTTATTTATAGATATTATTCAACTTCAAGCACAATATGTAGTACTAAAATGAAGTCCATGCACGGGTGCTGTTGTACATCCGGAATTTTCTTTAATCTTTCATCCATGCGCTTCCTCCTTCTCGGAAAAAAATGTAAATAAATTGAACGGCGTGTATAAACCCATGTTGTTTCGGCCTAACGTGTTTTTGATCATGATCAGCAACCTTGGGGGGATATAAAATGAAGATAATGTAGAAAAACGATTAGCTAAATTAGGAGGGTCTTTAAAAAAATATTCTCACGAACTTCTGGGCAAGAATGAGAAACCATACTTACGAAAGCTTCCTGATATACATGTAATAAAGATTACTATTTTTCAAATCATGACCGGAATAGGTATTCAAAATTTAAAATAGGAAGATGTACCACCGCAAACAAAGTAATTGTGTATTTTGCGGGTGGGGTGGGCGTGGATGGGTTAGGAATAACATTGTCTTTTTCACTGTCCAGCTGTCCTTCTGCCTCTCAAGGTTTTCCCAGGCCAGGCTTTAAATTTATGTAGAATCTGGGAGCTCATACTACTCGATACAAAGATTTCCAATGACTCTAGGGTGTGTCATGGCATTGGTTCAAGGCAATATTACGGCAAATTTAAGGTCACTAGAGAAAGAGGTAATGTTTTGTCCGAGCCATTTATATATGTAATCGAGAATATCTGGAAGCTCATACTTGATACAGAGATTTCTTGTGAGAAAAAGGTTTTGTATTATTTTGACTCAGAAAATAGTATAAATTCAATCTGGCCTTTGATCGACTGCTTATGGTCCTCCGTTTTCAGATGACTAAAAATAATGCCATTTTAACAAATTCAGGGTCAATGACAGAAAAAGCTGTAAAATGCCTGTCAGTTTTATGAATTTCTAATAAAAAAAATTGTTTGAGATTGAGGGTTTGTCTTGACACAGATTTAAGGTAATTCTGTATAGAGATCAGGGTCACCTACAGAAAAAATATTTTCTTTTCCACGCTACGAATTAATAAATAAAAATCATTGGAGGCTCGTACTTGAAACATAGATTATTTATAATTAGAAGATGTGTCATGACCTTGATGAAGGCAAAGAGAAAAAATGATTAACCATAACTTTGTAATTAAGATTCACAAGAGGCTCATCCTTAGAATAGAGGTTGTTCTTATAAGAAAGTGAAGTGACCTTGACCCAAGGTCGGCACTTCCTGTCCACAGCTCCAACGGAAGACCTACTCGTTGCTTTGCAACGAGCTCGGCTCTAGTTAAATATATTTTTGGGAAATTAACAAGTTTTACAGCAGCTTTCATGACGCGTTCAATTTTACTCTAGTTTACTGATTCTTGACCTTTCATTTTTAATGCAATGTCTCGAGTAGCCCTTGTTTTCCAGCTTCCCACAATGAAATTATGCGATGAAAAGTGGTCACATAAACCATTATCAATTCATTAAAGATTCAATAATTAGAGAAAGTCAAGCTTTATGTCAAATGATTTCTTTGCCCCCCCCCCCCTACTGAAAGTAAAACCGAGAAAAATATATATGAATTCCTTGTACGTCATACCAATACTTCGATATTTTATATTTTCCGCTTTTGTCAAGTTTTAGAGATTGGCCCTTTACATTAGAGCATGCACTCGGTATATACATGACTGAACATAACGCGGCGCGAAGTCAAACGTACATATATTTCGGCGTAAACCTAACATACTGGAGTAAACAAATACTAGTAATTTTCATATACTGTGAAGGAACAATCTCTAAACCTTGACTGACAAAAAACGGAAGGTGTGGTATGATAGACAAGGAATTGATTATCTGCCAAGTTATCGTGTCTAAAAAAAAATCTCAGTTGGAATGGGGGTCTGTCCCGGAAACACCCCCCCTCTAAATCCGCGCATGATATCTGTCTCAGAAAATACCTACTCAAGAATGCGTTCATTTACTTCCAGTTGTCCCTTTTCTAATAAATCTTTATATTAAAATTGTTTCCATTACATATTTATTCAAACAATAAAACCTCAGTGTTCATGCACGCAAGTGATTGTTCCTCAATTTTCTGCGCGCAGTTTTGTTTTCCTCCAGCACTTATTTTCTCTTGTGCTGGCGTCTTGACATAGTTACCAAAAGAGCATATGAAATCAGAATGTATACTTAAATAGGTTTGTTTTCTTTTTTCTAAACTACATTGGGGTGAAATAATTCATATTAAAATACTTTTAGAATGAAAGCACTATGTGACAAAGATTTTCAGGCCTGTATGAAGCAATTAATATCCGTTGAGGGGGACAACAAAGAAATGTTATTTCGGGAGGGAGGGGGGGCAAATAAACATTACTTGTTACGCATAAATTAAAAAGGTTCCAGACAAATGTTTAGTTACCACAGGTGCTTTGGGACGGGGAAAATCCATACCCTCTGATACTAAAACAGAACGTTCTGTTTTAGTATCAGAGGGTATGAATTTATAAAAGGCTTAAACTAGCCTTCTTTCCCCTTAAATTTTGGAATTTTGTTGGTTGTAATACTTTATAAATATATCATAGAAAAATATTTTATTTAAAGTAAAAAAAAAAAACACACTGGGGCACGGAACAATCGAGGGGGGGGGGGGGGGGGGGGGGGTCCAAGCACCTGTGATAGCTACATCATCGGATTCCCACGGATGATATATATCCGACGATGACGTAATTTCTATTGTTCCATTCATTGTTCATTATAGTATACTTGAAATTAAAAAAAATCGCCGTGTACCCGGTTCAAACGGCTATGCAATGTAAAAAAAAAAAAAAAAAAGAATTCTATACTTTTTCACACTGTAATTTAAAGTCCTGGTCCTATATATATGATGAATTAGAAACAACACATAGAATCAATATTCCGCAGTTAAATATTTTTTGCGGAAATATTGAGCACACTCAGTAAAAGGCATTAAATACAAATTACATGTATGTACATTCTTTAGCTTCTGCGATGATCCCTTGTCAGCTGTGTTATTTTAATTTCCACTTTCACCCTTACCGGCCTTGGACGAAACGGAATAGGTCGAAGAAGAATAATCAATTTGCGTATTTTCTTGACTCAAATATACAAAACCTATTCTTAACAGACAGAACTACACATAACTCTGATATATCAACATTTCTGTTCCCCCAAATTTGCCATAATTTTAGATAATCAAGAGCACTTTTTACTATACTTATGTAACTAGATTTTGTCGAGTGTCTCTAATGACGTCACAAAAAGGGGAAGTAACTCTATTGATGAACGTTATTTTTAGCAATATTTGAACAGGTAAATAAAGAAAACAACTAGGTTTAAAATGAAACGAATATTGTAATTTCTTCTTTTTAACCATTGTTTACAACATATATTATTTACAGGTATATCTATTTCCTTGATATTTGACCTTTAATTACTATTAGTATCCTGGCGTTACCGTTTTTCGATAGTGTAAACCTTTAGTCACAAAGTTAATCTGTGCATCATTGTTTTTCCACCTAAATTATTCATGTATTATAAGTCAATAAAACATTAATATATTCTTACTTAATTTGTCTTTGAACTCAAAAGTTTAACTTTCTTTAGATCCGCCATAATCCGAGTTGTCTTGAATGACGTCACCTATTTTCGATAGCAAGTATGGCGCACAGTAATTGGCATAAAAACATCGAATTAGAATTAAAAAAATATGTGTGGGTTTGTTAAATTTCTTTTATTTTTTTTGAATTTTGTTTTTTTTAACAATCTTAGCAACAATATTAACAATCTTAGCAACAATCTTAACAACAATCTTAACAACAAATAAATTACAATTAACAATAACATTATAACATTTTTTTTGTTTAATTTTATGAAATTGAAAGTTCAAGTGAATCAGTGATTGAGATCAATTAAATCAGATCAAACACAATGAGGGCATTTGATTTGTGTGTCTCTTCTGATTACTTTTTCCTTTACACAGTAAGACAGGTGCACCCAGTGTCCACACTGACATTGTCCCCATCGAACAAACTCGATGTACGGCTTTGACTTTAACTGTTCAGGCTCCAGTCTATCACAAACGCAGCATTTTTCCTCATCAGCTAATGATTCCTCGTCTGACAAATCAAGTGATGGACAAGAGGAAGTATTTGAAACCTTGGATGGACCTGCTATATCTTTGGAAGGACCTGCAATTTGATTTTCCATGGATTTTGCTTTCCCCTTTCCTTTCCCCTTCCCTTTTCCTTTTCCTTTTGTTGAGTGTTCTGACTTTTCATTGTATTCCTGAATTTTATCAAATACATTACTTTCTGTTATGGCTTTCCCTGCAATTATTGAACTAAGATTTCTCCTTGGTTTTTTTGCCTTCTCTACAGCTAAGAGTACCTCTCCACCACGCTTGTTGAAAAAGCTTTCAGGAGTAGAAGGAACGTTTTCATCAGTGGTAATAGTAGCTGTTGTTGAAGTTTTGCTAATGTCTATCTTGCCTTTATATACTAGAAATGGCAAAGTGCTATTTTCACTGATTGTTGATGGATTTAGTGGATAAATACCAGTTTTCTTGAATGCTGATCTTAAATTCTGTGGACTAAGGGCAGTGTCGTAAACTTTGCACGCAAGCCTGCACACATCATACCTTGTCACTGATCGACCGACGCTCTGTCGCATAAATTTATGAGCTTATTGCTGATACAGAGTCTCAAATGGACCAAAACAGCCAACATCCATTGGCTGTAAAAGATGACTCGTGTGAGGCGGGAGGACAAACAGAATGATGTTATTTTCACGGGCCCACTGGATTAATGAAAGAGATGTATGGCTTCTGTGACCATCATACAGAAGCAAAATTGGCTGTCCGGGTTTCCCAGAGACGAATTTGGTGAAATGATTTTTGACATAATTATTGAAAATTTCAGTATTGGAGTACCCTGTGTCACTCATTGCCCCATCACAGCCTGTGGTTGCACCATCCAATAATTCAGGTAACAACCGTTTACCTGGAAACACCAGAAATGGAGGAATACTGCACCCCACTGCATTCCCACACCCAATAACAGTAATTGTTTGAGATCTTTCAGATGTTACAACTTGAGCTGCCATCCCCTTTGCTGCAACAATGTTTGGAGGCTTTGACCCACCAGTATTTATTCCCTTTTCATCAACATTGAATATAAGTTGAGGCTTATCTCCTAGTCCATACCTGTTAATGATGGTGTTCAACTCTTCAAAGTACTTCCTGATACATTCTGGAGATGCTGCTTTCGCTCTTAACTCTGACAACCCTGAGGGTTTTACTGTATGAAGCTCCGGCCACCTCTTCATAAAGTTGTAATACCATTTCATGGTTAACTCTTTCCCCTTTTCCCTTATACCAAGATCTACCGCGTAGTCAGAGGCCAGGTTCAACACCTCTGCTCGGGTATATCCATACCCTATCTCGGACATTGTCTTTACATGCTCCACTATGTAAGATTCCTGTTCCTGGGTAAACAGAGGTGGAGGTCCCGATGATGCTACATCAATATTTATTCGTCCATCCACTCTATCTCTTAAAGTTGTCAAGGGAACTTGAAACCGTTTTGCAGCACCATGTACACTCATCCCCCCTTTTACTGCTTGGTAAGCATTATCTAACGCCTCTGGACCATAGTTCTTATAATTCCCCCTTTGGATGGAAAATATCTACAAAAAAACAAACAATAAAGCAACAGACACAAAACTGTAAAACATAGAAAGATCCCGAAATTTATAATAAAATATCCATAACGGGCTTCCATACTTTATTTTTTTAAGCGGAAGTCTGCCCAAAGCGAGGCATATGTATTCTTAGACCATAACACAGAGCTCTCCAACAGACGACAACATAGGATGATCAGATGTCGTTTTCAGACTTAGAAAGTAGGGTTTTAGGGTGGGATTTTTTTGCATTATGAGAAAAGGGCGTAATTGGAGTAGATAATGAGAAAAATAGAATCTTACCTCTCTGAATGGCATATTTTTCAATCTTTTGGCTTTTTATAATTCGTTACGTCATACGCTAATTCTGGGAAGAGGAGTTCGGGAAATGACGAAAGGGTTTCCGATTTATCGTTAAAAACAGTAGCCTATCGAAATTAGGATACTATCGAAAATAGGTAACGGCACAATATGATAGTTCGTGCATTTTGCCCGCAAAGAAAAAATGGCATCCCTGGATAGTATAGAACAGAACTGAACATTAAATAAGACTGCAACAGAATCTGTCAATCAAACAAAATACTCAAACTCTCAAATGAATGAATAATTGATAATATTAGAAATCACTATTTGTCACTTTATTAATATGTGCCGGTGTTTCCAACAATCCTCTAGAGAAGATTTCAGTCTGTTTTTAAGTACTGCATATGTTCTGTCTACACCCTCAGTTGTGGAATACCGATCCCGATGTATTTTCATAGTGTTTATAGGACAAACACCACCAAATGTTTTCCCATAGACTTCCATACAAACTTTAGCCCCTCTCACTGATACATATATTGAATTTCGGGCAAATGACCTTTTTGTCGTGAAAGTTCGAGATATTGGAAAACAAAAAATGCCAGAAAAAATACACCGTGCCGTTGCATTTTTACTTTCAATTTCCATTTGTTTACAACTAGGTGCGTTTGACACCAAATGAAAATCTCTAACCAAAGTGCATCCCTCCCTTCAAATTTTTACCTGTAACTCCTATATACCTCAAAGAAACCCAAGTCCTGATATGAGATTTTTATCAACTGTATTTCACTTGTCAAATACATAACAAGTCTTTTCTCTTATTGACCAATCACGCGCCAGCTAGCATTTCTCTTTCGCACAACTTTGGGTGTCCAAAATGTCTGCGCCCATGTATTTGTTTATGTAGGGTTTTTTCCTGTATATAAGTTTATATGGTAGATGATTCTGATACAGTTTCAAATTACATTATATCATGAGCTCATAAACATGTACAAATCCTAATTATTGAAATCACTCTTCTCAAAATGAAAAAAAATCATAAGTTGAATGAAGCAGAACGGAATATTTTTGCAACGTAGGTCAAAGGTCAATTGAATTGCAATGCTTGTATTTTTCATAATGTATTTTGACAAACAGTGCACGTGCAAAATAGCATAGTCTTTGCTCTTAATTGTCAAAAATATGCTGTATATCGGCAGTATGATATATTTTGAAAAGTAGGGCAAAGCTCAAGGTCAAGGGTCACTAGATCAATAATAATGGGAAAATACAAAAGCCATGGTACCAAGTTATACTTGTGCAAAATATCAAGTCCATACCTCTTACAGTTTTTTGAGGTAATGGGTGTGAAAGACGAACAGACAGACGCCGGGTAAAATTATCCCTTAGTGCTGCTCTGCTCTGCATGCGACACAAAAAATTGAGAATAACAACTTTCGTCACTTTTACATGGAATTAATAAGTTTAACAGGATATATTTTTGTTTTTTATTCAAATTTTCATAACTAGATTTTAAATTACAAAAAATGTACAACAATTGCATATGTTAAGAATGGCTTCATAAGGGTGGAATTTTAAACATCGTACAAAGTTAAAAATTTCTTTGGAAAATTATTTTATTGATGGGTTCTTACATTTGCACCCTTTTCACGATTTTGTTTTTAACACAATTAGATTTTCTTCATCATTAAAAATTCTAAAATCTTTCCTTACATCTAGAGTTGACGTTCTAAATATCTGTAAGCAGATAATAAACCACTGTCCGATCTACCAATCCACAGTAAGTTATTTTCCAGGTCATAACACAGACTACATGGGCAACTGAAGTTTCGTTCATCTATCTGTAAATCCTGGATAAATGTACCATCCTTGCTTAATATCTGTATCGTTTCACTATAGGTATCGCACACCAAAATATTTGAAAGTATGTCGGTACAGATTCCTCTTGGCTTGAATATTGACTTGGGTGAAGATCTTCCAGTGAAGTTAAAACGATGGTTTCCGCCGAAATCTGTTACAACAACAGCATTTCTTCTCGAATCGGAAACCACAATATCATGATTAGAATTTTCCGCAATGTAATCTGGCGAAATAAAAAGTTGCTTTAAATTTTTGTCATGCTGAAATATCGCTATTGGATTTCCCGAGGTATCATATTTCATTAGTTTTGCTTTTGAGTCCTTTTTCATGCCAACGATAATAGCACTATCTTTATAAGAGCAATAGATACTGCAGAATTTCCAGCCTTCTGAAGTTTTTATTACATCTTTTTTATTATTTGTACAGACATTTCCATTTTTACTGATATAATACAATCTGCAATCTGACGCTACCGAATGGCAACCGAACCCAGGCATTACTTCAAATTCATTTAGTTTTTCTTCTTCTCTTGTGTCCACTAATATCAAGTATTCACCACCACTAACCCAAATCCAGTTCTTAACCCCCACACAGGACACATGTCGAATTTCTTCAAGAGAGACTGATACTGAAATTTCTTTTGTCGCCTTTGATTTTAAGAAGTAAAGGTGTTTCAAAGAGGGTTTTCTTTTCCTTTTCTCCACCGTTATTTTACCGAGAAGTTTGCCTATATTATCCTTTGTTATTTCCATCTCGGTTACGAAGGAGGGCATTTGTGGTATGATAAAATTGAGCATACCATCAGGTATTGGTCTTTTCTTTGAAGGAAACAAAAAATCTGCTGTTTTATTGATAGATCTTTCGTAGTTTTCTAACGAGCATTCTAACTCGGTGATATGACGGTCTACACGCTCTTCTTCCTTGCTAAATTTTAGCAACTCTTTTCTTAAAGTACGTCGGTTTTCTTCCAAGGTCTTTTTGATGACATTTTCTAATTTTTTTGCATTTGATTCCATAATCCCCATAACTTTGTTCGCCTCTTCTTTAAAATCTTTTTTCTCTCTAGAAATTTCATCTTGAAACCCTCGATATTGGGGAAGAATTTGATTTTGGAGCATTCTGGTAGTCTCCAACAATTCCCCGTTTTGTTCCCCCACTTTTAAATCCTGAAATTTGTGATTTTTATGGCAACCATTTCTTTTACATTTTTTACAAACAGGAATTTCACAAACTTTACAGAACTGTGTGTATTTCTCTTTAGGATGTTCTTCACATTCTTTTTCGAGGCATATATTAAACTTCCCACGGTAAAACACAATATCGTGGTTTTCAGTATCATTACTAAAATGTCTTCTCGTACACTCTCCACAAAGATTGGATTTGCATGTCTTGCAATAATGATTAACGTATTTTCCGCAATGTGAACATTTTAGACTTTTCTGGATGACAAAAACAGGTTCCATTATCTTTTCAACCCTCAATAACTGACACCGCCATCTTCTTGATACCTTCAAAATGAAAACTGTTGTATATATAAAATACTTATGCTTAAAAGAATGCAAATAATTGGCCTCAGACGAAGATAAAGGTCACTACCTGTTTAGTTAGATTTTGCCCAAAGCTTTTCAATTGTGATAAATTGGTAATGAAAATGACGCACAGCCTTTTGAAATATGCGTTTAACAAAACCGAGTCCATTTATTTTTGCCCTAGGGATTTCGATAATTTTTTGATAATCTTTGATCCCACCTCTGGTGTTTTGGAGGTCCGTAGTTGCTTTGACCCTGTTTTGTATTGTTTAAAGACTTTTGATCTAGAATACTGTTCTTTATCTTCATATGCAGGCACGTAGCAACAGAGGGAGGCCTAGCCCCCAACTTTTTTCCTTTTCCCCAACATTACTTTTACTATTGAAAATGTTAATTGAAAGACTGGTTGCCCCCCTCCACTTCTTACTTCAATAAAATAAAACAAGAGGCCCATGGGCCACATCGCTCACCTGAGCAATGTAGCTAGGAAAAAACATGAACCAGTTTATTTTTGAAAAGTTAAAACCCAAAAGTGATCCCAACCAATCCTTAAAAGGGAGAGGGTATGACTTGAACAAACTTGAATCTAACTAAGGATGCTTGCATATTTCTTTGACTACCTGTGGCTCTATTGCCCTTTACATTTGAACTTACATTGTGGCCCCACCCTAGCCCCAGGGGTCATGACTTGAACAGAATTGAATCTACACTATGAATAGGACTAATCATAGCTTTGCTATTCCTGAAAAGAAGATTTTTAAAGATTTTTTTCTACAGGTTTCTAGGTAAAACTTGGATTCTATGTTGTGGCCCCACCCTACCCCCAGGGGTGATGATCTTAATAAACTTGAATGTTCACTATCTGAGGATGCTTCCATAAAAATATGATCAATCATGCCTATGCTATTACAGAGAAGAAGATTTTTAAAGAATTTTCCTATATATTTCTATGTAAAAAACTTTGATCGGCTATTGTGGTCCCGCCCTACCCCTGGGGGTCAAGATTTGGTTGAAATCGGCTCATTGGTTCTTGAGGAGAAGATGAAAATGTGAAAAGTTTACGACGACAGACGACGGACAAATTTTGATCAGAAAAGCTCACTTGAGCCTTCGGCTCAGGTGAGCTAATAAGGGAAATGTAGTGTTGTAAGTCAAAAAATTGGTACTGAAAGAAGTTAGCGACCAACTCCCTCCAAATGCACCCATAAAATATTCTGGCTATAAAATTACCTCTATTTTAGTCCTAATTTTTGACTGCTGGTACTTAATCCGAAACTATCCTCTGCCACCTTTTATGGCGGGACGAAGGCGTACAGGAATGTAGTAAGTCGCACTGAGATACAACAATGCCTTTTTAAGAGTTCATGTCAGCTTTAAAGAAATAAAACCTTACCTCATTTTCTTAACACATCGAAAGATGCGTGCTATTTTTAAAACTTGGAAAACCCCATGAAAAAGTTTTTCCTCAGCATTTTATTTTACAAAACTACTGTATCATGGTTTTCTTTCAATTCAATATATGTTCTTTCTTCTGTTAAGTTATTTTCATCTGCTCACGTGAATATGCCAGCGTCTATCAAGCCGTGTTGGAGAAGCCCCATGCTTGTTTACACCGGTCGATAACTCTTACATCATAAACCGTTTATTGATTTTTATCGGAAATTCCTTGTTAAACATATGAATTCTTCCCTCCTAGCATAACTAAATTAATACATTTATTGATGAGGTTTACCAACTGCCCTTTAGCTTAAGTATGTAGCTATCGTTAACTTCAACGAGTAAAGATTAATTTTCTTAGAAATTATTACCTCTGAGCATCATGCTTACTTTCTTGACTCCCTCCAAACCTCAACACTGGTAACTAGAATGGAGAGAATCAAGCGCCGAAGTAGGTGGCGCTGTATAAGTTTGGGGAGTGCATAAAATTTGACTCGGCGACAGAAACAAATTCCGTGAATGATTACCTCTCGTAAACTCAAAGAGAAAAGTATGACGCTCGGAAATTTACACTCTCCGTATAAAAGGAATGGGGAAAATTTTATGAAAAGCATTTAATTTAATTAAGGAATGTTTCGATATTTTATGTGAATTTTTGGTGTGTAAATCACACAAGACTTGTACGTAGGCATATTTTTCATGAAGCGCGCTATCATTATATTCACATTTTATAAGTCTTAAAGCACCAAAAATATACTCAATGTCCGCTGCCCTATATTGTTACATATATTGTAACATTGCCAAAATGCAGTTTCTCTAAGATAAACAGCAAATAACATGACGTCACTATATACGAGGTATATTGTAGGACGTAGTAAATCTTATATCGATAGCTTGATACACAGTTTTATAAAAAATTATTTGGGTACATAGGTAATAAATTCGGTATCCAGGTTCAATCAAGGGTGTACGGGGATTTACGCTTTGACTGAACCTGAATAACTAATAA